TTCCTGCTGGATGTCTAACCTTGAGACACCTCCCAGCAAACAGCAACAATTGGAATAATGATGCCCACCACCTTTGACTGAAACCAAGTATGTGCAGGGTATTTAACAAATGTTTTTCTCACTTAATCCTCACAGCAGGGCTGTGGCCCAAATATCAGTGTCTTCAATTTATTTGTAAAGAAACTGAAGCTCAGAAGGTGAAACCATGAACTCAAGGTCACACTGTAGAGCTAGCCCTGGAAGCCAGGTTGGTCTGACTCCAAAGACAGGCTCTGATGGGCTCCCCCATGATGTCGCCCTCTAGCGGGAAGGCCCTGGAATCCTGGGCTGAAGCTCAGGCTGCTAGAACAATAGAATTCTCAGCTAGAAGTTTTTCATTCAACTGGAGAGTTTGAGTGTTTTGATTTGGGGTTAATTTCCTTCTTTTCCTTATTTTGTTTCTTCCTCCTTAACTTTGTCATGGGACTTGAATGAAACACAGAACACATGAAGCCAGAGTTTCTACCCTGCAAGGATTTATACTCTTAGGTGTTTCTGCTACTCTCTGGCCGTGGTAATATCATAATCACCAGCAAGAACTGTGTGTGGCGACCAACTGTTGGCCCAGAATGACTCACTGAATCTTTGCAACCTTACAAGACAGTCACCATCAATATCCCCATTTCACAGATGTGGAAACTGAGGCCCAGAAAGGTTAAGTAACTTACCTACGTTCTTCAAACTTTGGAATCCAACCGTGGCTGGCTGGCTCTGGGGCCCATAGTCCTCACCTAGCTGCACCACCCTGTGAATGACTCATGCATCTGGGAGAAGCAGATGGGGGCTGTTTCATTGTCTCCCCTTATACATAATGAACTCCATCTAACAGTGTCGTGAGAGGGGTCTTGGCAAAGGCCACGTTTGCAGGGGACCTGGGCAACCATGCATCACTCTGAAGAAGGAACTCTTTTGTCTTTTATATCACTGTCTCCTGACCTAGCCCCTTCCTGCTTCCCTGGGTAGTACCGTTGAGCTTTGCGGTAGGGCAGGGCCATTAAGAGCACAACTTTTCGCATCAGACCCAGTAGACATGAATTCTAACTCACCACTAACTACCTGTGGGCCTTGGGCCACTGACTTTATTTATTTGAGCCTTAGTTTCTATATCCATAAAAATGAAGCTTAGAGTGGTATCTGCTACATCAAAAGCACTCCACCTATTAGCCATTATTTTTTATAGTGTGAAGAGTTAGCAACATCCAGGTTCAAATCTAGGCTCCACTACTCATTTGCTGTGTGACTTTGGGCAAGTTCTTTGGCTTCCCTGAGTCTCAGTTGCCCCATCTGTATAATGGGAACAATACTTGTACTGACCTCATAGAGTCGCATGAGGGTTAAATGAGATTGTTTGTGAAGATCTTAGCAGAGCATCTGGCATATGGGAAGCTCTCAGGAATGGTAACTCGTCATTTTTTAGGTCTTTAGTTCATTCTACCATGTAAAGAGCTGATAGCAGTTTAGAATGTTAGCCCTCCCATTGGTATTTGCAGTTTTGTACAGCTCAAAGCCTTACATTGCGGGGATGAAGATCTATCTAAGAGAATTCGGTGCTTTTGAAGATGGAAGGGACAGATTTGAGGAGGGAGTGCTGGGGCTGGAAACATTTGAGAGCATCCACATTGTGTGCTGAGGTCCACTCAACACACATCATATGATTAATTTATACATGCTATAAACTATGTGAGGTGCAGACAGTCATGGCAGTGTTTACAGGTGAAAAAGCTGGGCAGAGACAGAAAAGTGAGTGGGATTATCCAAGATTTTATACCCAGTGAATGCAGACCTGGGACCTGAACCAGAGGCAAACTGGCCCTGGAGCCACAACACAGCTGCCTGCCACACCTGGGCCGGTGGTTGTGTCTTCACAGCTCTGGGATCCCCTGAGTGGCATCCAGCACCAGTCAGAGCCACACGTCCAAGGCCTTCCGTGAAAGCCAACCATCTACAAAGACATCTGATGAAGGAACAACCCCTAAAAGGGAGCGGTGTTGGGCTGTTCATCATCAAACATTTTGAGACCAGGGAATGATGCCTCAGATGGGTAAGTGACCAATCCCAGAAGAAGCTTTGGTGTGGAGAAGGAACGGTGGGGACCATGGTGGGGGGCAGAGCTGGGGAGAAGCTGACAGGGACTCAGAGTCCCAGACTGACCAGTTCTGGAATTTTCCGTGCCTTCCCGGGGAGGTGGATTGTTTTTGTTGCTGTGTTGTAAAATCAGCGTCTCTAGAATGAGCAGTTCATAGCCTATACCTTAGGGTTCAAACCGGCTGACCAGGTTAGAGGAGGTCCAATGTCCAGAGACTCTACAGTCCTCAGATGCCCCTGGACCCAGTGTCAGAGAAGGCATCACACTGTCCTACAGACACTGACTCTTCATACGCTTTACTTCCTTTCTCTCTGCTCAGCCTATAGGCTGCAAGGGCAGTGTTCACATCATATCAGCTGTCTGCAATCAATCATAGGAAAGGCAGGACGGAGCGCAGAGCAGGGAGGGAGTAGGGAGGGCGAAGGATGTGGTGGAATTTGGACCTGGAGAGAAAAGGCTCTCAGCAGCCGCCCATTTTCTGGAGCATCTGCATTCTCTGAAGTCGTGAACTATAACACTCCAGCCAGTGTTCCTGAGAACTCAGGAGCAGGGCAATTTCAGAGCCTACACTTAAACCACTCCTTCCTTCAGGGCCTGTAGACACCACCATGAGGAACCTGCCTCTTAGGGTGCTTAAAATCAGCTATAATGTTTTGCTCCCAATGGTGGGGTGTAAGTTTTCTTTGTTGAAATTTAACATTTTAGGGATTTTAAAGTAAGAATGGAGGAATATCAGGTGTAATGATGGAGAGACAGGGAAGCAAGTACCCAAGATTCCCCAAACGGGGTGTTCCTCATACAAAGGCGGTGCTGAATGCAAGAGGGGCAGAGTTGAAAGCACTGGTTGCATCAAAAAGCACCAGAGAATCAACGAGACGTGATCGCTTTGTGTTCATCACTGGATACACGGCACTCTCATGCTGTCCACCATCCCATCAGTAAACAGTGAGTGCCAACTACATGTCAAGCACAGGGCTGGGCACTGGGGTCACCGATGTGAACAGACAAGGTGCCTGTCTTGGGGAGCTCACAGTCTACTGGGAGAGCTGGCTCCGAGACCTGTACACAGCACCCGTCATAGAGCAATGGCGGGGATGTGCCCGGGTGCCATGGCGGCGCAGCAAAGGGAAGATCCAGGCAGGTGGTGGTGTCTGAGCCCAGCATCCTAGTGGGGGGCGGCGGGGATCAGGAGGCAGGAAAAGCGGGCTGGGAGTGGAGAAAGCAAACCAGGCAGAGGAGATTGAGCAGGGCCAGGAATTGTGGACAGCATGGTGTGACCAAAAGCTTGGCATTGCCAGGGTGGGCAGGCCAAACATGGAATCTCTGAGAGCTGAGGTGGGGGAAGCAGAGAGAAACCAGATCAAGGAACATCTCCTATGCCGAGTGATGAGCTGGACTTAGTGTTTCCGGGTCAGTACTTCTCAACGCTGGCTGCACGTTACGCCCAACTGAGGAGCTATTTAAATATACACACGCACATAGACATATATACACCTATTATATGCCTGGACCCTCCCTCTGTCACTTCAATAAGACTGTGGGGTGGAGCCTGTGCAGAGGTATTCTCTGAGTGCCCACGTGATTCTGACGTGCAGTCAGGTTGAGAACCTCCACTGTTGACAGCCTTCTTTGGCCTCCGTGGGAAGAAAATGGGAAGGGACAAGTCTGGCAACAGAAAGACCAGTTAGGAGGTGAATTCATTTGCCACGACTGCCGTCACAAAACGCCACAGACTGCGGGGCTTAAACCACAGAAATTAATTTTCTCACACTTCTGGAGGCTGGAAGTCCAAGATCAAGACGCTGGCAGGTTTAGTTTCTTCTGAGGCCCCTCTCCTTAGCTTGTGTCCTCACATGGCTGTCCCCCTGTTTCATCTACGTCCCAATCTCCTCTTCTTGTCAGAACACCAGTCATACTGGAGTAGGGCCACTAATGACCGCATTTAACTTAATCCTCTCTTCAAAGGTCCTAGCTCCAAATGCAGTGTCCCATTCTGAGGTACTGGGGGTGAGGGCTTCAACATATGAATGTAGGGGTCGCTTCATTCCATAACTCAGAGTAGAACAGGAGGCTGTCAGAGTCACTCAGGGGAGAGACGGTGAAGGACAGCTGCATGTAACGCTGTTGGGGATTAGAGCTGGTAGGATGATGGGGGGATCAAAGGTGACTCCCCCGTTGCTGGCATGGACAACGGTGCCATTGGTTGAGGTGTCTGTGGGGAACAGAGAGGAGGAGGTGGTGTGTTCCCTTTGTGGTATGTTACGATTGCAGATGGGGCTTTGAAGAAAGACCTCAGCCTGGGAATAAGATGTGCATGTCATCCGTATGTGGAGGGCAGTTGAAACCAGGGATGTTGATGAGACCCCCTGCCCTCTAGAAGGTGTAGACAGAGAAGGCTGAGGACCAAAGCTTTCAGAAGAGCAAATTCTGAGATGCGAAGAGAATGAAAGGAATCCATTTGTGATTAAGCCACAAAAACAAACCAAAAATCAAAAAAAAAAAAACCCTATCATTTCTTTCTCTTGAACCTGAAGCAGAGTCCCCCTAAATCATAAAGAAGTGACATGAAGCAAGATTATGAATAAAGAAGATAAAGCTGATGGGAACCACGAGTTACATAAAAGAGAAAATGAAACAAGAATCAAGAAAGAAGTTACTGACGGATCCTTGGTTTGTTAATTAGGGGTCTGGCTTTCCACATCTCCTCATTTGTTATGTGCTGCTGGTGAATTAATAGATCTCTCAACAAAAGGACATTTAAATCAATGTATGACACCTGCTTAAATTCTCAAGAAACCATTAATTACACATTCTTAAGAAAATGAGCTATGATACAACCCTTCTAACTGTATAATTCCTATCTATGATTCTTAATCACACGACTTTCCAGCTGCAAGATGGATCTTCTCTGTTCATGTTCTCTGGTTCTGACCAATTAAACATTTTCTTTCATAATCATAACACTTCATGGGCCAAATCTTCAAAAGAAAAGGAGCTTGTTAGCAACATACCATCTCCCCTTGCTAAATTATGCTGAATTCGAATTCCTAAAAGTATAATATATACATACAGGGCTTTATTAACACATTCAGGCTTAGCAGAACAATGGCAATATTATTTTGTGGCTTGATTTTGTTTGAATGTGTTTTCAGAAGAATTCTTTAAAAAAAAAAAAACTTTATCAATTACTAAATAAATTCCTGCCAAACTGAGGTCAGATTTTGCACACAGCCTGTATATGCTGAGAGAATACAGATGACAATGATAAGAGTGTGTAAGTTTATTCAGAAGAAATCATTATTTTCTAAAAGAATTAGAATGTCTATACAGACAGCCTTTGGGCATTTTATAGCTTGATTCATGTTTAATGTTCACTGACAACATGTACCTTTGAGTCATTTATTTCATAACTGTACAGTGGCCACTGTAGATTTCTTTTCCAGAAACCACTCATTTCCAATGATCAAAGCACAAGTTTCCTCCACTGGGGGTTTCTGAGTGCAATACAGGAGCAGCACGGGGAAGAGTGAACGGTCTGGTTCCCAGTTAGCTGCTCTGCCTAAGATTCCACAATCCTGCTATCAAGCCAGACTCACCAAGCATAAGGGGGAAAATTAAGGGTTTATGGCCTAAACCAGGGCCAAATCTGACCATGCAGTAACCTCCTGTCAATGGCTGCACAAACCCAGGCACCCCATTGGTTTATATATTGTCTTTGGCAGAGTTGAGTAGTTGCAATAGTGACTGTAAAAGCAGAGCCTAAGATATTTACTATCTGGTCTTTTGCAGAAAAAAATTGCCATCTCCTGGTACAGACTACTTGCACTTAACTACCTGAACTGCTGTGACCATCAAAACATCTTAAAACCATTTTGAAGAAAGAGATACAGAAAAATACATGCCAAGAAGCCAACCACGTCATAATCTACTCCTGCTGGATGCAAATCTACGTCATCTAAAGGCAGCTTTCTTTTTATTCTTACACTATCACCTTCATACACCCTTTTATTTACGGTCCCCCAAACAAACCATCAGTTGGTCCAAGGTAACACGTTGTTTTTTGGGCAGATGTGAACCACTGATTTCTTTGCCTAATGAGTCAATAAGACATGGGAACCTGCAAAATTAGGGGCTGGAGTTAGTGCCCTTCATCCAGTCCTTAATCCAGGATGGGGCAGGATCTTCAAACATCGCCTGCTGTCCATCACCTGTGAGCACTGAGGCTCATGTGATGGGCAGACGCTTCTCAAGGTGTCCGGCAGCGGGAACACAGCTAGGGATGGAGTTTCTTCGTTATGTAGACCTCGCTTGCTTGTGACGTATTGAGGAGCCCTTGGCTTACTGCCCTCGCTTAATTTGACTAACATCTCCAGACCCCACCACTTTCGCATGGTTTTGGAACAAAGACAAAATGCCTATGTTTCTGGTACACATTTTTTTCAAAATCAAAATCTGTCTAGGGCCGTTATCTACCCTCCCCATACCGGTCCTCTCACTCATGAAAAGCTTTTCACGCATAGGTGTAGGATGGTCCTTGCGTTCAGCCTGAGAACACACTGAGAAAATATGAATTGGAGAATGCAAGAAAGCTTTTCTCTCCATTGGATTACGCCTGTACTCTAAAGGCCAGCGAATAAACCAGCCACAGGTACAGACGCTTAATAAAACTGTTCAGGAGGCTCTAGTAAGCAGGGCCATAACCGTTTCCACCCACTTCGGTCTCGTACCTGATCTCCTTGTAGCGTGTGCTGGTCAAGGGGTGTCTTGGTGGCAATGTTGCTGTAGTAGGCGTAGGACAACTCCCAGTCCAGGGGGTAGTGATCAATACCCTGGTAGTGTTTGTACCCAAGGTTCATCGAAGACAGCCTCTCACTGCCCTGACCTCCAACCAAACTATACAACATGCCCTGTTAAGAAGAAATGGACAGTGTTCACAGGATTATAGAAAAGGGTCATAAAATCCTAAACATAGAAAGGTCATCTGGCCTCACCTCCACATATAAGCCTAGTCATTCCAGAAACAAGTTAACATGCCTTTTTAAAAAACGTTAGAAAAGAAGACACGAGAGCTTTCTAATGGCTATCTGTCCTTCTCAATGTCTAACAGCTGAAAATTCCTTTGTCCTTTTCTCAGTGAAGATTGGGAGTCCTCCCCTGACTTACCTCACAGCATCTCTTTGTGTATCTGACAACTGTTCTAAGGACCTCGGTCCACTTCAGCTATGTCACCTACGGTCAGATGATCTGAATAGTGGGCCACATCCCAACCTCACACTCTCAGAACGTTAGTGTTGGGAAGGGTCGAGATCGACTGGTCCAACCATCCCATTTCAGAGTTGAGGAAATAGAGGCTCAGCAAGTTGAAGTCATACGTCCTTGGTCAACGAGCCATTTTGTGACAGAGACGGGGCTAGAATCTTCTAACCTCTTCCACCTTGGTGGGGACTGCCTCAGGGACGTGGGAAAGCATGCCGTCAATCATGAGCTTCAAGTGAAGTGAAGTCAAGTGAAAGGAACACAGAGCCACCCAGGAAGCTCTAAACAGTCTGAGTCTCTTCAAATCCAGGATTAACAATCCCACGTGCACAAACAAAAACTAAAAGTGATCAGGGACCATTTAGCAGCACTTATAAAAATGCGATTCCAAACGTTAGGCAAGTTGCATAATAAATTTGGATTCAGTACCACAAAACCGTCTAGTATGACATTTATTTTAATGACAGGAGGCTGGATGTGACCATACTTTGCTTAGAGGTCCAAATGATTTCACTTAGCTAAAAAGTCTTATGGGATGCTGGACCCACAGCCAGAATAGTTACAAGAATTGGGTAAGAGGCACCTGTTCTTGAATGACTGGGATTCTGGTAAGCCTTGCCCAAACTATTCCTTTGACAGTATACCAATCATATCCCCATGCCGTGTCTAGAAATGGACAAAGTGCCCTTTTTCACTCACTGACAGCGGGAGATCCTGTATTTAACACAGCCTTAGGCTGTTTTTCTTGAGTGTAAAGTTTTTAAAGGACTCCAGGGAAAATGAACATGTCCAGTTCCACCGGGGGCATGAGAGCCTTACTCTGCAAATATAAGGCAGGTAACTGATGTTCCTGTGAAATACTCTACCTGCAGCTGATCCCGAGGTACATTTAATCCAGTTTCATAAAAGACTGCGAGGTAGTAGGATGCTTTATGGTATCCACAGCAGCTGGCATCCATCAGAAAGGGGACGACAGAGCTAATTTGGTGAAGACCATCAACAATGGAAAGTCTCTTTACAGCCTTCTCGAATATCCGCCCACCAATTTCTAATAAGGATTCACTTTGGTTCCTCAGCACTGTAAATAACACAATTCACAGAACACACAATTAACTACCATGGGGTCGACAAAATAAGTGGGAACAGCCAACTAAATCACCTGAGTTATTAATATGGTTGGTCCTGCAGTGACTTGATATATACCAGCTTCTGGGGAGGTAAATCAAACCCGTTGAGGGTGACATTCTGTAAACAGCTTTTCCTTTGGCACTAAACGACAGCCTAGTATCCTGGAGAAAAGGATGTGCCTTCTATAGCTGAGAGAGCGCCTCAAGAGAGTAATTAACTCAGTGTAACTCACCACCAAGTCAGGACCACCGTTAACTGCCAGAGAGGTTTTTTTTTTCCCCTCTAAGACTCTGAAGGAGGGTGTGTTTTATCTCAGAAATAGTTCCTAGGGGCTGCTGTAAAAAGTTGAGCACAAGAAACTTTCTTATCATCTTTTGCTTCCGGTTTTCCTTGTGGGTTTCTAAATACAATAAAAAGAATGAGTCAACTTTTATTGAGGGCCTATAAAATGCCAAATACCGGGTTGAGTGTCTTATGCAAATTATGTCATGTAATCCAAACATATTTTAAGAGGTAAGTACTATTATTGGCGTCCTCATTTTTCAGATGAGGAGACTGAAGCCTGGGGAAGTCGACTAACTTGTCCAAAGTTACCAAAGCTGGCAAATGGCTGAGCCAAGCTTAGAATCCAGCTTGGTAGGTCACAAAAGCAAGATCCCTACTCACTCTGCTCCACCTACCTCCTGATTAACGGGCAGCCAGTTGTCTTAATAGGTACCTTGCCACCATGGGTAGAGACCTCTTTTATGCAACTGCTTTAAGCTATGACACTTCCTTTTACCTAATTCTCCCATAAATTCTTAAACTCTTAAGTCCAAATGGGCAAGTTATATGGCCCTATAATCTGTTACAGTCTTTTAAAGTCCGTCTACATTATTCATCTCTCGTTTTATTAATTCAGCCAATGAACGTTTACAATTCTATTCTGTGCATCTACTAGGTGCTATGTTACAAACAGCTATATAGGATTGCATAGGTACAATTTCCATTTAAAGAGATGTGGTCAATTTATTTAAAACTAAAATTTTCTCCCCCCTAAGAATTATACCCAACATTTTTCTTTGATTTTCTTCATTCCATCCCAAATTAAAATGTTACTAACAACTTCCAGGAGGCAACAAGAGACTCACTCTATCAGCGCTCCATCAAGGAATGAACAGAGATGAGTTTCCAATGCGGGAAAACTCTCAATGAGAGGATTTGAGATTAGATTTAAGGGCAATTCCGAGGCATCAACACAGAAGACAGTGGGATCCACGGATGAAATTGTGAAACCCAAACCACTGATTATGAGCTAATGCCTATCCCTTTGGGCACACAGGCAGGCTGGCTGCCCCTGGTAGGGGGGCACATGCCTTCACTTGCCGAGCTGTGGAAAAGGAGCCCACCTACCCCCTCACCCAGCGCTAAGGCAGTCCCATCTCCTGGCTCCTGGAACCCCTCACCTCCGCCCTCTCCAGGTTTCTGAGAGGCAGCAGCTTGGATCTGCTTTTACTTACTCTCCATCCCAAGAGGTAGGTGCTAAAAACAGCACCTTAACTAAACACGTGGAGTTTGCTCCTCTGTTTTGTTTTTAAGCCCTAAAGAAATAGCTGCTTGTTGTAAAAAAAATAAATAATAATAATAATAATAATAATATAGATTTGTATAAAACAAAAACAGAAGTCCTCTCTCTCCCAAACCTTCTTTAATAGTGAAGATAAACTGTTGAAAGCTTGGTGTATACACTTCCAGACTTCTCCTTGGCATAGACAATAATTCATTACACCTCTATCTGCCTATATACATATATATTTTCTTTCCAAAAAGCCGCTATAGGTTTGCACTCTCAACTTTTGTCCCCTTATGAGTGTATTTTTTTATCAAACTATATTTGATTTACAATATTGTGTTAGCTTCAGGTGTAGAGCAAAATGACTCATATATACATATTCTTTTTCAGATTCTTTTCCTTTATCGGTTATTACAAGATATTGAGTATAGTTCCCTACGCTAGACAGTAAATCGTTGTTGTTTATCTGTCAACTTTCTTTTTTAAATTAACCACACACCACGAATACCTGTCCACAGCAGTCAGAAGCTCATTCTTCCTAAAGTTTCAATAGTATTGCATTCTATAGCAGTGCCATTCTTCCAACCGGTTCTCTATTTTTAGACTCTTGGGTTGCTTCCACTGCTTTTGCTATAACCAGCAACACAGCAATGAACATCCTCGAGCATTTCCCTCTGCTCATCTGTTGGGATGTATCTGAATAATAACCCTCTTTTCCACCAGGAGGCCGGGGATCTCCTTTTGGATTCTCCCTTTGCACAGCTGAGAGAAAAATTCCATCCTACCCAACCATTAGACAGGATAAGAACTTTCTCCACTAGATTTGGTGTGTACTGCAGTACTCAGACGGAGTTGCAAAGCAAATCCTACTCCTACTTATTCATATATTTACTTTGAAATACATACTCGTCTCCGATACCCCTCTGAGCAAAGCAACATTAACAATTTGTTAACGATTCATTCCAGCCTTACCTGCTCTGCCAGATTCATCTTGCTGTGCAGTAGAAGCCAGCACAACATTGTAAAGCAGCTATACTACAATAAAAATTAATTTTAAAAAAAAAGAGCCATTTCACACAAAAAATAAAATAAAATAGGCATTAAAAAAATATCTAATATGATGAGTTTTGCCTGAGTACCCACAGACGTGGGCTCTGGGGGCTCAGAGGAGAAAAGAGACTCCAAGCCAAATGGAGGTCCAAATGAAACACTTGCCCTGCTGACCTCTGGCACAGAATCCCAGCAATCATTACTGTGATCGCCCAGGTAGGAGGGCGATCCTTCACAAAGTTCAAATCCTTAGCAAACACACAAAAAACTTTGCAGACTGAAACGGAGGCAGGTTGAAAAACCTTCATTATTTCTTTTACCTCTTAAAATTCTTAACTCCCCCCAGACATTACCAATCAGTACTTTCTCTGCAAGAGAATCTAGACAATTTTCTGCACTAGTGAGTATAATAATAAAATAATAATACTTCTAAAGGAAAACCACTCGTTTTGCACATTCTTTAAAGTTTGAATTCCAAATGTGGCACAAAATCAAAGCTCTGATGTCAATGGTGGTATGGTAAAACTGGCAATTTAAAAATCCATTTAATGAAACTGTTAATTTCACCCAACTGGTTTAGCATATGCATTTTTTCTAGTAGATCTATAACTAAAAAACATGCCTTATTTATGGAGATTAATGGAGTAATGAAAAACAAACAAACAAAACAGAAGTAGGAGCCATTTTCCCATTTTTCTTTCTTCCTACACCAGGAGCTAAGGAAACAAAGGCACCACCACCATTAACTCTTAATCTCCCCAAGTAGCACAGCGTTGTTTATTGTGCTCTTTTTTCCTTTTTCCAGCAATACCACAAGGTCACCATTTGTGCTTTCATCACTGGTTTTTGTTTGTTTGTGTTGTTTTTTTTTAATTTTTGGCTGCATTGGGTTTTCGTTGCTGAGAGCGGGCTTTCTCTAGTTGCGGCGAGTGGTGGCTACTCTTCGCTGTGGTGTGCGAGCTTCTCATTGTGGTGGCTTCTTTTGTTGTGGAGCACGGGCTCTAGGCACACAGGCTTCAGTAGTTGTGGCACGCAGGCTCAGTAGTTGTGGTGCATGGGCTTAGTTGCTCCGCCGCATGTGGGATTTTCCCCGACCAGGGCTCGAACCTGTGTCCCCTGCATTGGCAGGCGGATTCTTAACCACTGTGCCACCAGGGAAGCCCACACTCATCATTAAAAGAGGCAAAAAGCAGAAAATGAGAAGGTAGGCACCTACTGAAGGAACCAGAGCTGCCTCTGATGGAGAATTTGGGAGAAGAAAGGCAGACTTATTCCTTGTGAGGGGAACGAGACAACAAGAGGAAAGTTATTTTTAGTTTCAAGCTTCCAAAAGGTGTAATGCATCCAGGGAAGAAGTTTGAAAAGGGAAAAAAATGTGAAAGGAGAAAATATCATTTACCCAGAAAAGGAAAGATCTTCACCAAGTTTACTGATTTAAAAAAACATAGCACATCCTTCATTTGCATTCTCATTTGATGAGCTCCACTGGGTTCCCGAGACTCAAAGAAGTGGCTTATTTCTCTCTCAAAAGTAAACTACTTGTGCTTTTCTGTCCTGTGCACATTGTCTGGTTTTATACATGTAACTTCTCCCCCTCCCTCCTTCCCTTTCCCTCTTTCTCTCTCTCCGTGGATTTTTTAAAAAACTATAAAGATGCTTTCTTAAATTAAAAAAAATAAGATAAAGGTCCTTTAATGAACAACAGTGAACATAGCTCTTAAAGGACACAGGATCCTGGCGTTACTAAATAACCCCATTGTGTTTCTACCATTTCCATGCTCTGCGTTTTAGTCTCCAAATAAACATTACAATTGTTGGCAAAAATAAGAAGAGTTAGAAATGTGGTATAGACACACAATGGAATATTATTCAGCCTTAAAGAGGAAGGAGATTCTGACAGATGCTATAACATGGATGAACCTTGAGGACCTTACGCTAAGCGAGATAAGCCGGTCATGCAAAGACAAATACTGTATGATTGCGCTCATATCAGGTATCTAGAAGAGTCAAGTTCATAGACACAGAAAGTAGAATGGTGGTCACTAGGGACTGGGGGTAGGGGCAGGGTGGGGAGTTGTGGTTTAATGAGTACAGAGTTTCAGTTTTGCAAGATAAGAAAGTTCTAGAATCTGTTGTGCAACAATGTGAACGTACTTAATGCTACTGAAGGGTACACCTAAAAATGGTGATGATGGAGAATTTTAAATTATGTGCATTTTACCACAAAATGTTTTTTAAATTACAGTCCTTAAAGAGGGAGGGTGTAAATATTTGGGGATTCTCTTTTGCAGTAGAAAAATAGGGCTCAATCTTTTGGGAACAACTAGAAGGTGGTGACCACTCCTGAC